GAGAAAACTCAAATTAAGACTTATGCCAGGGCCAGGATGTATCTAGCTCCGTGAAAGAGGACTTGCCTTGCATGTGTGAGGGTTTGATCCCAAGTACCACCAGAAAAGGTAAAAGATTTTGTGCCACCTGGCACCTTGGTAGGACTGAAGAGATCTTGGAGTCTGATGAAAAGCATAGAAGGAACTAAAAGTGTACTTGTACTAGCTCTCTGGAAAGGGCAGGTTAGGTTCAACGTGATTAGCATCCCTCTTTACACATGATATTCAGGACCTAAATTGTTACTGGCCTGTGAGCACTTAATACTGTTTCAGGCTAGGATCAGGTGATGGTAAGGCCAACGTGTAACTTCCTCCCTTTACCAGGGCCAAAGCTCATTTTGGCTCCAGGATTGAGTCTGCTATCATTTGCTGACCTTCCTATCTTGACACCAAATCACCTTTGAGGAGCCAGATAGTACAATGGGTAAGGCACTTGTCTTCCACATGGCCAACTTAGATTCGACCCCTGGCACCCCATATGGGCCTCCCACCCCTGCCAGGAGTGATAATTCCTGACCACAGAGCAAGGAGTAAGCCTGAGCACAGCTGGGTGTGGTCCACAGACTCCAGAAGACAAGATAAATGATCTTGGGAGTTAAAGCATTTAAATTCCAGATTCTCTGGCTGAGAAGCCAAACAGGTAACAGTTGTCTATATCCTTATTCATACCCTGGTACAATGAGCCTTGATTCTTCTGTTTCCATCCAGCAGGATGGGCTGGAGGAGGAGGAGGAAGTACTCTAGGGAAACATTTTTTCTGCCAAGGGCCGTCAGGATATTTATAACACGCCTGGGCAGCTGGGGCGTGGGCAGCCCCCAAGAAGCTTATGTGTCTGTCTATACCAGGGCCAGCCAACATGATTTCAAGGGCCTTCTATGGGTCATATGCTAGATATTCCTCACTGCTGCTTAAGACCTAAGGGCCTAGCTTATTCCTCACTGCTGCTTAAGACCTAAGGGCCTAGCTTCTTTTTTTTTTTTTTCTGGGGCTGGGAACAGAATGTCATACCCAATTGTGCTCAGAGCTTACTTTTGGCTCTGTGCTCAGGGATCATGCCTGGCAGGGGTTGGGGGACCATATGGCATACCAGGGGATAGAACCTAGGTCAGCAGCATAGAACGTAAGAGCCACATTCACTGTACTATTGGTCTGGTGGTCCTAGGTTCCAAATGTGGGACATGTTCTGAAATAAATTTGTGATTTATTATCACTGTTGTTTAATTTGTGTATTATATGTAAATATGGGCTGGAGTGATAGCACAAGTGGGTAGGGCGTTTGCCTTGCAAGCGGCCAACATGGCCAACCCGAGTTCGATTCCTCCACCTCTCTCCGAGAGCCCGGCAAGCTACCGAGAGTATCTCGCCCGCAAGGCAAAGCCTGGCAAGCCACCCGTGATGTATTTGATATGCCAAACACAGTAACAATTGTCACAGCGGAGACATTACTGGGCCTTGCTCGAGCAAATCGATGAACGGGAGGAAAGTGACAGTGAATATAAATATATTTATAAATAAATATATATGCATATATATTTATAAATGTACCTTGGGTTGAGTAAAAACTTCTCCTGTATAAAGGGTTCACAAGTGGATTGCATTTAAGAAGTCCTGATCTAGGGGAGTCTCTTCTCTCAGCTTCCACAGTTTCCTATAGTTCTGTGGTTACTTGTTGTTGAGTCAAAGGAATGAAGATTCTGGAGGGTGTCCCCAAGGCCAACCCAAGTTACTTGATTCAGAAAGATGCTCTGGCACCAGACATGACGATAACCCAAAGGAAGAATATCAGGCACTGTTGTACTCACATGGATAGCCTGACTGAGCCCCATCCTAAGAACTGTCTTCCAGTCATCTTGAAATAATCCAGTTCTTGGGCTGGAGGGATAGTACAGTGGAGAACATACTTGCTTTGCACATTGGCTGACCCGATTTCAATCCCTACACCCCATGCAGTCTCCCAAGCTCCTCCAGGAGTGATCTCTGAGCTCAGAGCCAGGAGTAAGCTGGCTACACTGCCAGTGTAGTCCAGAAACAACAACAACAAAAAAAAATCAAACATTTGACAGGATAAGCATAGATTAATATATAGTGGAATCTCCCCTCTGGAGAAGCCCATGTTTTTTCTTAGACTCTCTCTCTTTCTCTCTCTCTCTCTCTCTCTCTCTCTCTCTCTCTCTCTCTCTCTGTCATCTGTCACATATCTCTAAATTTCTTTCAATAGAAACTATTTTTCTTCACCAAAACAAACAAAAAATTTCATTTGGCAACTGGAGAGAGAGAGTACAGTGGGTAAGGTGCTTGTCTTGCATGCAGCTGACCTCAGTTTGACCTCCAGCACCGTATATGGTACCCCAAGCACCACCAGGAGTTACCTCTGAGCACAGCGCCAGGAACAGCCCTGAACACCACTGGATGTGCTTCCCATCACCCCCCACCCCAGTAAAACAACATTACAGGGGTCAGGGACATAGCTCAGTGGTAAAACCTGCTTTGCATGCAGGAGCCTGGTTTGATCCTCAGCACCACCAAAATACAAAACCGGAATCTCAATGTAAATGTTCACTGTGCTTCTACTGTGAGTAAGGACATGCCGAATCAGCCTCTGCCAGAATTTCATGGACAAATTTGTAGCAGAGGGGTCCTTGTTTTCCACCAGCTCCCCACTTTCAATGCATGTACATTTCAAGTTTGGAACTATATAATTTAAAATTTTTTTAAAAAAAAGGGCTGGAGAGGTAGTCCATCAGGTAAGACACTTGCCTTGCACGCCACCAACCTGGGTTCAATCTCTGGCATCCCATATTGTCCCCCAGGCACTGCCAGGAGTGATCCCTGAGAGGAAAGCCAGGAGTAACCCAAGTACTGCAAGGTATGGCCCCCAAAAAATTATTTTAAAAGCTCTTCGCTCCATTATTATTGGTTATGAGTTTACTGTAATGACCTACGGTTATACACACACACACACACACACACACACACACATCCCCACATATACCAATGTTGCTTTTTGGGGTGGCTCTTAGTTGAACACACAAATCATGGTAGTGGTGACTGCACTGCTCATACAGTGCTCACTGGGAGGCATATTTCCAGGTTGTGGTATATGCACATCTTTCTCTGTTTTGGTGCTTCCCAGGGGGGATACCCCCTATTTTGTGATGATTGAACACACCTGGCTGTGGGGCAGCATGAAATCCCCAGTGGCGCTGGGGGTCAGACACAGCTGCCAGAACCACAGTCTTCACAGGGACTAGAGGCCTTCAAGATGGGCACCTCAAGCCCTTAGATGTAGATCTTGGAAATGGAGCACAGTTCATCATTGCCGCTGGTTGCTGCCAGTGTGTCCACCACCGTACTCCCATTGGTCCTTAGCACAGGGCACAGAGGACCATTTGCGTCATCCTTTCTCTGGGTACGGGGGAATCTGACCCAGTGGAGCTGGGCTTGTTTCTCTGCATCTACTTCATGTTCTCCCTTCACCCCAGGAACCGAACCATTTACTTCCCGCTTTCCACTAAAGAGACCAGAAAAGACTTCGAGACGGAAAGATTTTTGTTAGAAAAGATTTTTGTTTCCGCAAGCAGAAATTCACTTTTAAAACTGTCATTTTCTCCTCCCATCTTATCTTAGCTAACAGGATAGTTTAATGATGGTCCGTGATTCAACTGCTGGCAGGCCTGTGATTCAGCTGCAGGCTGGGGTGTCTACATGAGCGGGCACACCCAAGGTCGCATTATCCAGGAATGGGAGGCAACCGAAACGCGTACAGTCTTCCCAGTTTTTAATGAAGCGACGTTATATGTGCTCTTAAATGTCTAAAAGCGAGCAAGCGTTAACAGCTGTTGGTGGCACTGATAACCAACGTCACCACGGGCTCATTACTGAGATCTCAGGAAATGTCCCGGTGAACAATGTGAAGGCAAGTCCCGCCAACACCGACGGAAGGGCGCCACGCAGAGAACGAGTGCGGAATCTCGCGGAGACGATCGTCCCCTGCTTGCATCCTGACTTGCTATTTCTGCGCGAGCTTGCATGCATCCTGACTTGCTATTTCTGCGCGAGCTTGCATGCATCCTGACTTGCTATTTCTGCGCGAGCTTGCATGCATCCTGACTTGCTATTTCTGCGCGAGCTTGCATGCATCCTGACTTGCTATTTCTGCGCGAGCTTGCATGCATCCTGACTTGCTATTTCTGCGCGAGCTTGCATGCATCCTGACTTGCTATTTCTGCGCGAGCTTGCATGCATCCTGACTTGCAGTTTCTGCACGGTTCGCTCCCCAAGAGCGTGCCACGCCCGGGCGCTCGCTCTGCGGGAGTCCAGCCCCTACGCGAGTCCCCAGAGGGCCCAACCTCTCCTTCCTCGTAGGAGTCTTAGAACAAAAAGGTCTCAGTGTCCTGCACTGCCCACCCCGCCCCCGTGCAAATCCTTCGGGAAGGCGGCCGGCCGCGGCCTTTCATCTCCAGCTCGCCTGGGCTCCGCGTCCCGGGCGCGCTGCGGCGGGCGCCGAGAGACGGGTGCGGGGGTCGCAAGGCGGGGTGGGTGGCTGGGTGGGTGGGGGGGCGTATGGCCTAGACCCCCCCATAAATCTGGGCATCACCCACGAATCCGGGCAGGCCGGGCCGAGCCGAGCACGCAGGCCCCCCGGGAGGCGCGAACAGGTGGCCCCGGCGCCCGGGGGTCTGGGTGGGAGGCACCGCGAGGGAGGTGGGGGGGGGTGGGAGGGCCGCTGCGCGATGCCGCCTCCCGATTGGTGCTCCTGGCGCGTCCATGAAGGGCTCTTTGCGCCCCGTGTGCGTCCGCCGCGGAATGTAGTCCCCCCAAAGGGCGGCCGGCCCGCGCGCCCCGCCCCCGAGGCGCTTCCGCCCGAAGGTGAGCGAGCGCGGGGCGCGCGGCGGGGCGGGGCGTGGCCGGCCGGGCGCCGGGATTGGGCGGGGCGGCGGCGGAGGGATCGCGGAGGCGCCGCAGCCGGGGGTAACCTTGAGGCTGCGGCCGCGGGTTCCCGCACTGGATCGACGCTCGCCGCCTGTGCGCGTCTCTTTGCTCCGTCTGCTCGGACGCTCGCCCGGCCTCGCCGCAGGTGAGCGGGATGGGGAGAGGAAAGGCGTGGCCCCCTCCCCGGCCCCCGGCCCCCGGCCCAGGCGCCGGCTGCTGTCCTTCTCGCGCGGAATCCTGGCCTTGCCCCGCGCGCCCTCTCGGGCCCCGAACCCGGGGAGGCGCGGCCGCAGGTTCCCTGGCATCTCGGACCCGCCGGGGGGCTCCCGGGCAGGGAAGCTGCTCGTGCCTGGGGCTCGCGCGTCTACGCCCCTCTCCCGGCTCCCGCTGCGAAATGGATGGCTCAGCCGGCGCCTGTCCTGCGTCCCCCCTCCTCCTCCTCGGTGGCTCCCCCGCCCCGCTTCCCCCTGCCCTTCCCCGACGGGTTCCGTCCTCCGCTCCCCCCTTCACCCGCTCCCGATTTGACCCTTTCCCGTCCTCCTCCTCCTCCTCCTCCTCCTCCCCCCCTTCCGCTCCCCCGTGCGCCTCTTCGCCTGACCCCTCCCCAAGAACGTGTCCCCGCCGGCGCGCCCCTCCTTCGGGTGCCGTCCCAGCGCCCGCTTCCCGGAGGCCCTCGTGGCGCGCCCGACCCCGCCTCCGTGCAGGGTCCGGCCACGCTGCCCGCGGCCTGGCGCCCCCGGCCCGGCCCGCCCCGCCCCTCCTCCCCCTGCATGCCGGTCACGTCCGCGCCTCCGCATCCCTCGCCCGCCCCGCGTGATTGGCACCGCCCGCTGCTGGCTCCTCCCCGGCCGATCGCTCACGTCCCCCGGCGTCCCCGCCCCCTGGCTTCGCCCCGGCCCCGCGGATCCGGGGTGGGGGCTTGGCTGAGAAGCGGCGGGCTGCGAAGCGTGGTCCTCCCCGGAGATGCTGGTGCAGCCCCCCGGGCGCCGCTCGGCACTGCTGTAACCCCGGGCCTCCCGGGTACGGGGCGCGACAAAGGGGGGCTTGGGGGCCGCCCCTTGCTCCCCTCGGAAGGCCCCAAGGCCCATAGTGCGGAAAGGGGGGTGCACGGGGCGCCCCCGGCCTGGGCGGCTCCGGCCAGGGGGAGAGGGCGCAGGGGACCCGTGGCTGGAGATGGACACGCGGATCCCTCATCTCTGCTCCCTGTTGCTGAGCGCCCCCGGACTGCGGAACCTGAAGGCCACGGGGTGGGCGCGGGTGATGGGGAAGGGAAGAGATCGTTTCTAGGGCTCCTTTTGCCGAGTTGCTAGGTGAAAACCCTGCGTGCATTTGGAGAGCTGTTCAGGGAAGGAGGTGAAAGATTAGGATAATAAGGGCAGCCACCGCCTCCAGAACTCAGATTCTCATTATGGGGCGAACACAAAAGTTGCCACTGGTAAGTGCAGTCAGGAAGGTGGTAGACCTTGGGGTGAGGGTGGTAGGGCTTAAGTGAAGTGCTCATAGAGTTCTGGTGAGATACAGGGAAAAGATGCTTCCCACCGCGCATTTGATCACAGACATTCCCTAATTGAGCCGGAGGGAAGTATCACAGTTCATCTCTCTGGGAGCCATGCCCTCTGAACCCCAGACATCGCCTGGAAACCAGTTCCCCCATGGGAATCCAGGCACTGTGTTTACAGAGTGCTTATAATGTGTTCCTTGGATGAAGATTTCCAGTTGTCACACGGGTTCTTTGGTCTCCGAAGAGTGAGGACCTGGTTCAAAGGAAGGCCCAGGCTGAGGACTGAGGGAGATTAGTCTCTGGTGGTCAGCGCTTACCCCAGGGCAAAAGTCTTCAGGCTCCTTCCTGGGAATATGAAGCATCCTTCCCCAGTGGGACTCTGGGGAGTTGGAGGCTAAGCAGTGCTGTGGGTGTGGCCACTTCCTAGGGTACAGAGGTGGGCCTAGGTCAGGACTCAGGTCTGCAGCATTGTTAGCCAATAATTTGCCCTCTGGTAGCAGGAGGGTGCTGGAGGGGTTGCAGTGGGGCTCTTCTGAGGGGGAGGATCTATGTAGCTTATCACCAGGTCTGTGGGGGTAGGAGGCGCTCAGTGGGAAAGATGGCACGACCTCTGGACTTCACTGCTGTGCAGAAAAACGTCTTTGTTAGGTGAGTGGGGAAGCAGCACTGCTTATAAAGCCCCCCTCCCCTTCAGTGAGTCAGATCATGACGCAGGCATTTTCCACAATTCAAAATGTCTCCACTAAGTGCAAACTGGTCGTCCAGGAGCCCAGGCTCACTCCCTTTTTTTTTTTTTTTTTTTTTTGCTTTTTGGGTCACACCTGGAGATGCTCAGCTGTTACTCCTGGCTCTGCACTCAGGAATTACTCCTGGCGGTGCTTAGGAGACCATATGGGACGTTGGGAATGGAACCTAGGTCGGCCGCGTGCAAGGCAAATGCCCTATCCCGTTTGCCATCGCTCCAGCCCCAGGCTCGCTCTCTTGCCCCCATGGGGGCACGAAGGTGATCCCTCCCTGCCCAGGCTTACTGCGTCACTGTACCTTCTGCAGTGGACATGGCAGTGCTAGAGGAATAAGGGTTGCAGTGTGTCCTGAATGACCGTGGGTTAAGAATGTCCTTGAACTCCTCTCAGTGACTGGCCTTGAGCCAGAAATGTGGACGCTAATCTTCTCCCGGGTAATGCAGCTACTCTCATTTCTAGCACATGAGTAAATTGGGTGCCAAAGCCATCTTTTTCGAGAGAGCACTGTTAGGTCCTAAAGAGCTGCGTCCCTGGAGTGACTTACTTGGCAGGGTCCTTGTCTCCTGAACGGAGCCGGACCTGTGGAGTTGCTTCTGGGCCTTGAGTGTTGTGACATGAATGTGGGGTCACAGTAAAAGCCATTTTATTTCTTAAAGCTGTGTGTTTCTTAATATTGAGGCAATGGGAGAAATGAGGAAACAGCTGTGAGCAAGAAGGCAGGAAAAAATGCAGCTGTTGCACCACACACATGCTGCATCGGTTTTATTTTGCCTCCGTTTTTTTATGAAGGCAAGTTAGGATGTGTCTTCTTGGCGAAGAACTAAGACCCGACATCAGGTAGTGGAAATTACTCATTTGACTTCTTCGAATCATTCCCAGTATCCACAGTCATGGATCAGTTAGCTGGTTTACCACAGGATTGAGTCGCTGGGAGAGCAGTTCTCTTGCAGCCTTGCTGAGGATCTTGTGGTATATCTATATATATTTATGTCGTAAATATGGTAAAAGGTCTAACAGGGCCTTGAGTCATCACACACACACACACACACACACACACACACACACACAAAACCCTTGTGGTCCAGGTAGGAATAGTGCTGGATGAAGATCATTTTGCAAAGGGGACCATACCCAGTGGTGGTCATTCAGCATTTATCCCTGGCCCTGTGCTCAGGGATCTCTCCTGGCAGGCTGGGGCACCAAATGTGATGCTAGAGTCTGGGTTGGCTGCTTGCAAGGCAGCACCCTACCTCTGTATTCTCTCTCCAGCCCGTAAATGAACACCATTTTTTATTTGAGGGCCACACTGCCTTGGTGTTCGGGGACCCTTATCCAGCCTGGGCCCTCCTGCATGCCCGGATGTACTCTAGCCTATTGAGTCTTCTCTCTGGCCTTTCCCGCCACACTCCTCCTCGGGAGCTTGCGTTTCCTTTCTCACCAAAAGCCAGCCATGAACAATACTTGAAACGCCTAATTATATGGGTCTTTGCTTGAGATGTTGTCGGGGGAGGTGTAGAGTGATAGTACAGTGGGGAAGGCACTTGCCTTGAGTGTAGCCCACCCGTGTTTGATCCTCGGCATCCTCTATGGTCCCTCAGACCCACCAGAAGTGATCCCTGAGTGCAAAGCCAGGAATAAGCCCAGAGCACCGCTCTGCGGCCCAAAAACCAAAAAAAAAAAGAAGCTGTTTTGGGGAAAGTGAGGCCAGTATGGTCTATAGCTTCTGCTGGCCCCTTGGCTTCCTGCTGGGGCTACTCAGTGCCCCGCCCCTGCAGCAGGCTGCACGCTCTGCACGTAGGCGGGAGGCCCTGGCTGCAGTACCTCTGGCCGCCTCTGACGCTTTCCTCCAGCTCTGCTCTACTCCAGCTCCCAGCCTCTTTCCCAGCAGGAGCAGTGGGGGGAACTAGGCCATGTCTATAGGGGTGGAGATGTCAAGACCACATTTGATAGGGCAGCAAGATTGCTGGGCATAGCATTCCAGAGTGCACCAGCTTAGCTGTCGCAGTCCATTAAAAGGAGTCCATTGATCTTACCCATTCAACCAAGACAGTTTCTCACCTAAGACAAAACCCTGCAGATTCTGCAAAAGGGTTTTTTTTTTCCCTTCCTTTTTTGGGTCACACCTGGCGATGCACAGGGCTTACTCCTGGCTCATGCACTCAGGTATTACTCCTGGCGGTGCTCGGTGGACTATATGGGATGCTAGGAATCGAACCCGGGTTGACCACGTGCAAGGCAAATGCCCTACCCGCTGTACAATCACTCCAGCCCCGATTCTGCAAAAGTTTTAAGAGATCAGCTAATATGTAAAGAAAAACATTCCAACAATCCTGTTTTTGGTTACTATATTGAGAGCAGCTTAACAAATGCCACTTATCAGATGGGCAGACATTTTAAATGCCTGACCCTATCAAGTCCCAGAGTGGGGGAAGGCAAGAACTCACAGTACTGGTTGGTTGTAAATGTATGTAATGACTTTGGAGAGAAATCCAGCAATATTTAATAAAGTGGCATTTTAAAAGTAATCCACATGACGCGAGTTCTATTTCTGGACTAAGTAGAAGTTCATGCTTTGCCCAAAGGAAATGTGTATTAGGAAAGTTGTCATACTGTTGATTATTGAGGGGAGTGGGTTTTAGTAGTGGGAGAATGGCATGCTGATAAGTTAATACATAAATGGGATGGTTATGTATGAATCACAATTATAGTAGTTCCTTTGGGCTAACTAGACCTAAGTGCTGTAGATTTTAAACATGCCCAGTGAAAAGTCAAGTTGTTGTATGTTGTTTTACTTAGGACTTTTTTTGGGGGGGGTCACACCCAGCAATGCTCAGGGGTTACTCCTGGCGCATGCACTCAGTAATTCTGGCGGTTCTTGAGGGACAATATGGGATGCTGGGGATCGAACCCGGGTCAGCCACGTGCAAAGCAAACACCCTACCCACTGTGCTATCGCTCCGGCCCCTTACTTAGGACTTTAAATATAAAGGTACACATACCTAGATAGGATACAGGATTCATGGCTATAGTGTCAGCATTTTTATTGGATGTAGAAAGATTGGAGGAGCCTGAGTATGATAGGAAAATGTGAAAAACGTCCAAACTAAATGTTACCTGTTAACGGGGGTCTGAAGAGAGAGTACAGCTGATAGGGTGCTTGCCTTGCTACGTGGCTGACCTGGGTTCCACTCCTGGCACCCTGTATGATTTCCAAGAACGATCCCTGAGTGCAGAATCAGATATAAACCCGTAGCCTCACTGGTGTGACCCCCAAACAAAAAAAGTTATTGGGTCAGTTCTGGGTGCTAGGAATATAGATGTTAACATGTTTTTCTGTAGCTCAAGAGAGTTTAAAAATGGGAACAAACCCATGCAGTTTGGTAGGAAGAATGTGGCGGTGACTCCATCATTGATTTGCCGTGGGAGCTGACCATGCTGGACCCCCTTCCAGCCACCCCTCCTTCACATGCTCTCCCCCCTTCCCCCCAGACCGACATCCATCTTACTGCTGGAGCTGATTTGAAAAGGCCCTCAGCTGGCTTCCTGGGTCCCTTCCTGCTTCTAGAGAGGCAGGGAGCACCAGGTCCTGAAGCACACACTGCCTGCCATTTTATTTTAGTCCCTTTAAAAGGCAACAGGACAGCACAGCAAAGGCTTCCAGCACACTTGCTTCTTCAGGCTCAGACTTCTGCCCTGAGCACCTGCAGTCCGACCTGGAAACCCTGGGCGTCTGAGCACACGGAGGTGTCTGCCTTGGAGTTAGCCCATTAATCTTTTTTTTTTTTTTCAGGGTGGGGGGCACCCTCCCATGTGCTCAGGGCTCACTCCTGGTGGTGCTTGGGGCTACCATATGTGGTCTCAGGAGCCAAACTCAGGTCAGCTGCATGTAAGGCAAGCACTTTTCCCTCTGGCTCCAGTATCCGCTTTTTTTTCCACTTTTGTTTTGGCTTTTAGGGCACACCCAACTATGCTCACTGATCTCTTGTGAAGGTGCTTGGGAGGTGATATGATGGTATTAGAATTAAGCCCAGCTGGGCAAGCATCCTCCCCATTCTAGTGTCTCTTCAGCCCCCAGTATCCACTTTTTTGTACCCTGTTCCACATTCTGGTGTAAGATCAGACCCTTGCTTCTGAAGGAACATTCACTTCTTACCTAGAATACAAGGAAAGAAAGGCGGGGATTTTACAGTATGTGGGCTCACTTTTTCCTGTGCATAACCAAGTAACTTAAGATTTTGTTTTCTGTTAATGAACCCGGCTGAAGGTAGGCAGGGCTTCAGATCGACGTGTCTTTGCTAAAATTTGCTTGTACTTCAGTCCTCTTGCGGTAAGTGCATGACTCCTGATTGATAACAGAATCCACTCCAAGTCTCTGACCTATTTGGCCCCCATTTTAATGCTGATGGGGAGTCAGCAGGGGACCTTCTTGTGCTTCCCCTGCTGCATCATCCAGGAAGACTAACCCGAGAGGGTAGGCAGGCCTCAATACCATGCCCAGCACGGAATGCAAATTTTCTAATGGAGTCTGGAGTTTGGAATTTTGGAGAATTGAAAGCCTGGGGTGCTGACTTGAGGGTGGGGGATAGTGGGAGGAGGTGTGGGGAGCACATTGAACAGGTTTCTGGGTGCTGTCATCATTGGGTCTCAGAGCAAAACTAGTGCAGAAAGCCCTGGCTGGTTGCCGATGGGCTTCCACAGATATAGGGTCCCAGGCCGGGCTAATGTAGGAGGGCAGAATGTCATGGGCTTTGTGAAAGATAGGATTAAGCGGTGTAAGCATGCGTGACTCTTTCCTGGCACAGCCTACTCTAAAGGGTGCTAATGATTACATATGCATGGACTTGCATGGACATGCACATGAAAAGCGACCAAAGAACTGTGTCAGGCACAAAGAAAACAAGTTTTGGAGCATGTGGAGTCCCTTAAGATCAGGAGCAAGAGGCTGGCACAGGGACTCCTGGCCCTTGGCCACAACTGCCCACTCCATCATGTCCCCCTGCACTAAGGCCTCTGCTGGTGTCTTGTTTCAGAGGGAAATGGCACCGAGGACGATCTTACTGCAGGGGCTCAGGCTCAAGAATAAGGCTCCTGTGACTGGGCACGGCCTTTGCCACCATCCGGGGATCCTCCGGGCTTCTGCTGCTGGCTGGAGGTTGGCACTGCATGTCTGTGTCTCCCAAGGAGGAGGATGACGCAGTAGTGAGTCAGACGGGCACCCACGGGCTGCGTGTTCTGGCAGGCACTATGCAGCGGGCCGCGTGAGAGGGAGGGGTGCTGCTCAGAGGCCAGTCCTGAGAATCAGCGCTGACGTACCTCTGGCCCAGAGGAAAGGCCCGGGCACGTGATGGACTCTAGGGCCATGTCTGGGGCTGGCCTGTTAGGCTGGAGAGGAGAGGTGTGGAGCCCTGGAGATGGGCAGGGGAAGCCGCCCTGCAGAGCCTATGGTGGGAACCTGATGGTTGAGCGGAGATGAGGTGGGGGTGTTTCTGGGAGACAGAGGGCTCCGAGCCATGCTGGGGTCTTACGGGTATAGGGAGCCAATGGCTGCCTGCCCACAAGCATTTTAAGTTACATAAATCCATTCAGACACCGTTTGAAAAATTTTTTAGGGAAGGGGTGAATGTTCGAGCCACACCCAACTGTGCTTAGGACCTCTGGCTCTACTTGGGGATCTCTCCTGGCATTCTGGGGGTACCATATGCAATGCCAGGGATTTGATGCTGCATGCACGCAAGCACCCGACCTATTGTACTCAAATAAATCCCAGCAGATTTTTTTTTTGTTGTTGTACTCAATAGTCTGGGTGAGCAAAAGATCAGAACTTTCAGACCTCAGATTTTATTTGAGATGGTGAGATAGGGCTCGTGTTGGAACCCAAAGTAATTGTCTTTGTTCCTTGGCCTGGAGGCAGCCTCTGTGTCAGGGTGTTCTTGTCACTAAGACTGAGGCTGGACTTACCTGAAAAAGAAGCTTCCTGTGTTTGGCCAAGTAACTAATAGATTCGACCAGAGACTTATCCTTGGGGTGCCTGTGCCTGTGTCTGTGACAAATGCTCGGCTGTTGAACCCCGTCCCTGGGCACCCTGGTTTTCACCGAGGCTGTGAATGGGTCATGGCTGACTTTCCTTCACCGCATTGCTGGCGTGGTGCCGACTCGGGGTCGCACGCGCTTGGTTGTGGTACTCAGACTCTTGGTCCTGTGGTTCACGGGGAGTTGCACGTTGGCCTTCATGCTCACACTGTCGTGTGAGGGTTCCTACCTTAGCTGTGGTGCTTGCATACACAGCTGATCAGGCTTCTTTAGCTGTTAGCTGTGGGGCCCAAGTACATTCTCGGAGCACCTCACTGTGGTACTCACAACTGCCGGGCTTAGGACCAAACTTGGGATTGAAATCCCATCCACGTGCTTGCGAGGCTCATCCTGCCTACACCCCATAGCTGACCTTTACTTATTTTTAAAATTAATTATCTAATTTTTGTTTTGGGGCCACATTAGGTGGTGCTCAGGGCTCTCTCTTATTTTTTTTTTTTATTATTTTCTTTTTCTTTTTTGGTCACACCAATGCACAGGGGTTACTCCTGGCTCTGCACTCAGGAATTACCCCTGGTGGTGCTCAGGGGATCATATGGGATGCTGGGAATCGAACCCGGGTTGGCTGCGTGCAAGGCAAACGCCTTACCCGCTGTGCTATTACTCCAGCCCCAGGGCTCACTCTTAATTCTGCACTCAGAGATCGTTCCTGGCAGGGCTCAGGTCGCCATATGGGATGCCAGGGATCAAACCCGGGTCAGCTAGATGTAAGGCAAGTTTTCGACCCTCTGTAGTATTGTTCTGGCCCATGGCCTTAATTTTTTAGTTGGCCTATTCTTGCATTGTGCTCTGCGACCATTTTGCCATTTTGTGCTGGGGATTGAACCCAGGACTCCACAGGCAGAGAGAGTAAGCTCTCAGCTTTTTGAGCCTTCTCTGTAGCCAGTGTTGACTTCTCTTAAACCCTGGAAATTTTCCCTGCTACATATTCATGATCAAAGACATGAGATTTATGTTGCTGTCGCATTTAAATAGTAAACTCTTGAAGTACATTGTATAGCGTAGCAATTGATTCATGTAACTGGATTTTTTGCCCTTTTTTTGCGTGGTGGCGGGTGGGGCACACTGGCAGTGCTCAGGGCTTACTCTTGGCTCTGCACTCAGGAATAACTTCTGGCAGGCTCAGGGGACCATATAGGGTGCCAGGGATCGAACCCAGGTCAGCTTTTTGCAAGGAAATTGCCCTAGCTGCTGTACTATCTCTCCAGCCCTGAATGGACCAGTTTCTTGAATAAATAAGAAAGCTTGAGTAGATCCTCAACTTCCAGACCTCAGCGGAAAGCTGCCTGTGGGGAATGGGGGAGGGGGGTGGCGGCAATAAAGCATTACAGAGGATCAGCGGGAACTTGTTACCTGTGAGATTTCCCTACCAGTTTCACTGGAGGCTTCTGTGTTTTCCTTTATAATATCTCTAAGGGATACCTGGAGACCTGGTAGTTGAGGGTATTTCTCCGTTACCCCAAAGAACGTAAGTTACACTCAGCTTTTACCTCAACTCTTGTGCAGCTCTGCAGGGAAAATCTTATTCAGCTCTGAGCAGTCTTGGCAAGTGGGGCCACAGAGACACCCTGAGCAAACTCGCTACCAGCATTCTGTCACCGGAAGCCCAAGTCCAGAGAACACAAGGTACTCCCCCAGCCTGGTGTTTGCGAGATGCCCCTCCTGATGGCGGAGGCCGAGGGAGTGGGCTTGTGGCTGGAGGAGTGGGGCTGCTCACCTCACTCCCGCCTGCTCCTCCAGCTCTTCCTCCAGCCACATGCAGTCCTCAGACTGGATGGCTGAGTGGAGGCCACAGCACAGACCTCATGTTCCAGCTGGCGCGATATGCCACCCGGTGCCTACTCAGCAGTAACTGTTCCCCTGCCATCCAGACTCACCTCCACCCAGCTGGGTGCTCTGACTCTGTTCAGCCCCACTCAGCTCTGGGTATAGGTCAAGGGCCCCTGAGTGCCCAGGGCATCCTGTTGGCAGTTCAGACATAGCCATGACTCAGGGAGGAGGTGCTGGAGGCTTTGGTTGTGATAAAGAGGCGTTCAAATACTCGGAAATTCTGTCAGGGACTCTGGTTCCAAGAGATAAAAAAATCTAGTTGATCATGAGAGGGGTGACTTAATTTGGGTGCCTGGTTTGTGTTAGGAGCAAGACACACATGTGGAGGAGCAGTATGTATATTTGGCATGTGGAACAGTGAGCCAGGGTCTTTTTGTGTTTTTGTTTTGGGACAACACTGGTGGTGCTTGGGGGCCCCGTGATGCAGGGATGGCACCCACGGCTCGTGCATGTAGACATGCGCACGTGGCCCCTTGGAATCATCTCCCGGGCCCCATTCGCCAGTGTCTTATTTCCTGATTCAAAACGTTCCAGACTCTGAATCAAGGATCTGTGACTGTTGCTTTTCAGTGGTTGACAAACGGTGTTTTCACAGTTGGTCACAAAACAAAGCTCCCTGAGCTTCTGCCAGAAGGTGGCAGACAGATGGTCTCCTCACCCGGAGAGACCTCAGAATCAGGTGGAGGAGGAGAGGCGAAAGAGTTGGGGTCTGTGTGGAGGCTGATGTGGGTTGGAGCCTTCAGTTTTTTTCGGGGTGTGGGGGACGCACGTATCTGTGTTCAGGGCTTACTCCTGGCTCTGTGCTCTGGGATCACTCCTGGCAATGCTGGGGGAGGCCAGGTGTGGTGCCGGGGACTGAACCAGAGCCGGCAGATAGCAAGGCAAGCACCTTAACTGTACAACCTCTCCGATTCTAGCTTGTGGGGATGTGGGGCAGCGCTGATGTGGGGTTTGTTTTATTCTGAGTGTGGGCTTCAGATCACGAGCTTTGGAAGGGAGTGGCCCTCAGTCTGAAGACCGAGGCACAGCTTCGGGTGGAGGCCTTTTGGGCTCACTTCCTTTCACCTGGTGGTTCTTCAGCACTGCCCAGAAGCATCTCATCTTAGTCTCTAATCAGCCAGCTAACCGGCTGAGTGAGTTTAGTTGTAATGAAGAAAAGCAAAGGTCGGGGCAGTTGTTAGGATTGTGACCCGGGCTGGTTAATTACCTGGAACAGACGGTCTGTCTTTGTTACTGCTGCCTTGTCTTCCCTTTGACTTGAAAGGAGTCAGGGTAGCACATCAGAAAATCAGATGGGGGAAAAGATTGATTGACAGGCAGCTGTAATCTCTCATGGCAGCTGTTGGTATCATTGAAATCACAGAAACGGAACGGAACAGTTGGGCTGCGGGCAAATTGCCCGAGTAAAAGTAGGTGTGATTTTCGGTGCAGGTCCTGGTGATGTAGGCATTCAGGTTTATGGCTGGACTTTGCCTCATGTGTAGGGACTGGTTTTTATTGCCTCCCAGTGGGCTGGAACCTACCTGTAGGTTGAAGGTGGGTCAGGAATGAATGTTGGTCTTGCTCTGAGTTAGTAGAAATCTATGTGTGGTTCTGGAGCTCAGGACTGCGGAATGGGAATTGTCTATAGCAAGAACAATCCCTGGGCTTCAGCAGGGACTGTGGGGAATGAATGTGGGTAGACATGGCTCATTCAGAGATCTAGATTTACCAGGACACTACATGAGGACCTGCTTGTCTATATCACTGGAAGATGGATTACAATTTCCTGTTGAGGATACACCTTTAGTGAACTTAAAATGATGTGATTTACTGAATTCAGAGAGTCAATAAGAAAGCTGGCTAGTAAATGTTAGAGGTGGGTGGGCCATCTGCTCACAGTGGTAGCTTGTCTTTGTTACTGTGTCTCTATGTTGGTGTGAAGTGTCTACTAGTTTTCCTGGGAGCCTTTTGAATGTCCCCTGTGTGGCTGAGGCATGGCGGGGCTCCCTGTGGCTTGTGCACGGAGCGTGCTGATTGAGTTAATGTGTAAGCAGGAAGCAGCCTCTGTGCCAAGTGCTGTGGTCACTCCGCTGGGCTTCTCAAACTGGTCCTCTCTCTTCAGTTCCCCGGGACCCAGGACCCCAGCAGCCATGTCAAAGCACCAGAGTGACGTCGGGACTGCCTTCATCCAGACCCAGCAGCTGCACGCGGCCATGGCCGACACCTTCCTGGAGCACATGTGCCGCCTGGACATCGACTCGGCACCCATCACGGCCCGCAACACGGGCATCATCTGCACCATCGGTGAGCATGTGTCCTTCCCCACCCACACAGGGACGCTTCAGCTTTCTGTTCCCAAAATGACTGAATGTGAACCTGTGTGCTGAGTGAAGCGTCAAACAGTATTTCTGGAGGGGTGGAGGACCCGTTTCTGGTGGCGCTGAGTTGCAGATTCCAGGCTCCTGTACGTGAAAGACACATGCACCAGCTCCTTGGCCCACTAATGCTGTTGTTACGGGAAGTCTGAGTGAGCGTTTTCCTTGCTAACTTCCCTGCTCTTTTTCTGACAGGATTTTGAGAGCATCTCAGAAACTTTTATTTATTTATTTATTTATTTTTTTGGTACTTGGGATTTACCCAGAACTTCTTGAGAACCATGTTCTCTACCATTGAGCTACAGATTCACAGCCTCAGAGATCCTTTTGATATGACCTATGTAACTGTAATTCTGGGCTTGGGCATCTGGCTGAGTTTTAGTGAGTAAGGAGATGGACCGAGTCTTTGGTAGTTTTTTTTTCAGTTCGATCAGATTCTGTAGGATTTGTGGCTCCCCCAACCCCTTCCAATCCAGCTGTGCTCAGAGCTTATTCCTGGCTCTGTGCTCAGAGATCACTCCTGGCAGTGCTTGGGGCACCATATGGGGTGCTGGGGTTTGAACCTAGGTTGGCCATGCAAGGCAAGCGCCCTACCTGCTGTACTAGTGTTCTGGCCCTGGATCCTGCGGGATTTAAAGGAAAAAGAGGTGGCAGGAAAGTAGACTAGCACAGTAAAAGCCACCTGGTCTTTTGAAATGAAAGAATTTTGAGCTCTTTGCTGCAGGTAAAATTTAGGGGAAACGTAGGATATCAAGACTTCTTTAAACTTCAGCCCGCTTGAAGGGGCATTCGCTTTGAATAACACTTGTCAACTGCCTTTTCCTAGGCCCAGCCTCCCGATCGGTGGAGATGTTGAAGGAGATGATTAAGTCTGGAATGAACGTGGCTCGTCTGAACTTCTCTCACGGCACTCATGAGGTGGGCTCTTAGGGTCTCCGGGCCCTGACGTGGCTTGATGGGTGGGGGGTACAGTGTTTGTGTAGCCATAGTGGACCAGGCAAGAATGAACTTGAATGTCCCGTCTTTTGGGAAGGTTGTCTTTATGATCCCCTTCCTGCCCTCATTTCCCAGTCTTTGCTACCTTGCTTGCCAAGTCTTCTTTTTCTCTTTTGCTTTCTGGGTCACACCCGGCGATACACAGGGGTTCCTCCTGGTTCTGCACTCAGGAGTTACCCCTGGTGGTACTCGGGGGACCATATGAGATGCTGGGAATTGAACCCAGGTTGGTCGTGTGCAAGGCAAACGCCCTACCCACTGTGCTATTGCTCCAGACCCTGGCCAAGTCTTCTTAAGCTGAGAAGACCCATTTCATCACAGGTCTGGTTTTCCTGTTCACCTGTGCTGCCACTGGGCCCTCACAACGGGAAGCTGGAAGGGTTCTGCTGGAAACCCCACTCAGCCACGAGGTCGCCCAGCCACCCACCCAGCTGGACACTCACTGCAGGCTGTCTCTGATGGCCTAGTCTAGTGGTGAACCAAGAGGTCGCCTGCAGATTGGCTCCTTTCCAAGTCAGAACCATTGCTGTTTCGAGGCGGCCCTGAGGTTTAATGCACAGTCTGGCTCATGATTAGTTCATCACTATTAAGTTTCCAACCTGTTGCTTCCCATGGGTTTTTTGGACATTAGAACTAAACAGTCCACACGCTTCCCTGGGGAGCCCAGTGGTATGTGCACCAGAACTTTTATTGGCTCACTGGAGTGGGAGACAGGCTGGAGCCAGGGGGGTGCTGCAGGAGCTACGGGAAAGGGAAAGTGCTCCCTCCCTGTGGAAGGTCCCAAGGTCAGAGTCGACTCAGTTGGGTGGGGGAGTGTGGGTGCCTGGGGGACAGTGCCTTTCTCGAACCTTCGAGTTCAGGCATTAAGCCAGAAAGTTTCCCCTGGGCATTGATAGGCTCTGGCTGGCTGGGCATTGATACCCAAAATCCAGGATGAGGCAGGTGGTAGGGGGTTGCCCTCTGGCATTTGGAAGGTGGTGTTAAGTTCAGAGTAAAAATAAAACCCCAGGAGATGCAGCCCAAGAGGTGAAGTCCCCCTTTCTGGAAACATGAACCTCCACGTTGAGTCCCTAACCCGTGTTCCATCCACAGCCTATGGCCTGGCAGGCCACCCAGCCTCCAGATGCCACGGGGCCTGTCCATCTAGGCGGACTCAGCTCGGCAGTGACACAGTTGCCTGGTGGCAGTTTGTCATTTTCCAAGCTAGGGTGTCCTCAGCTAGTGTCACGGAAGGGCCTCCAGTCACTTGAATCTGTGAGGATTGGTTTGCTGCTGGCATGTGCTAGAGTGGGCAGGGAAGGAGCAGAAATAGATCTGAAGCAGCTGACCTTTAGCTGGACCGTCCCATCCGCTCCATCTGGTAAAACAAACCGGGACAGCTCTGAGGGTGGCGACTAGGCTCAGCAGAACCCATCACAGCCTTTGGGAGATTTTTCTGTTTCAAGCACAAAAGGCATTTAGAGATTAACTGTTTCCTTAATCCCCAATTAGAACAGCCACTTAGGAAAAAACAACTTCTCTTTGTTTAATCTGAGGTTTTGGACAGAGTGCTGGGGATCAGGCTTGGGGACAGGGGTCTGAAAGGGGCCCTAATGGGGTGTGCTAGAAATAGTCCGGCTGCAGGTCTGGGCTCTTCATCAGCACAGTTGGCCAGTGGGCAGGGCGTGCTTTTCCGCTCCTGTAAATTTAGAGTCCGGGCAGTGTGCTGACATGGCTTTCCCTCCCTCCTGCTAACAGAGGCACTGTCTGTCTGCATCCTGTCTTAGGTCTGCTCTGCCACCATTGGCAGGCGGGTGGGTATGAATCTTATGAGGATGTGGCCCCATAAAGCCATGTTACCCAGAAATTCTGAATAAAACGTATTTGGCCAAGGAAGTTCCAGGAGTCAGAGTTTCATATTGGGATTAAATAGTATGGACGGTATAACATAAGACAACAATAACATTGATGGGATAATTACTCGGGTCATTTCTGCTTGAAGTAGATACCATGTTTTCCTTTGCTTGTGTCAACTCTGACAATATTCAGTGTTCTGTGACTTTTACTTGTCAGTGCTTTTTCGTTGCAATCCAACAGTAGAAATTTTTACTAAAAAATAGAACGTTCTGGGGGCTGGAGTGATAGTATATCAGGTAGGGCATTTGCCCTGCACGCGGCTGACCTGGGTTCGATTCCCAGCATCCCATATGGTCCCCTGAGCACCGCCAGGAGTAACTCCTGAGTGCAGAGCCAGAAGTAACCCCTGTGCATCACCAGGTGTGATCCCAAAAAAAAGCAGAAAAAAAAATAGGACATTCCGTTCCCACCCCACTCCTCACCCCCCCGCCAAAAACAAAAACCCCACACCATGTACAATACTCTCTTCAGATTGTGTAAATCTTTGCCTTTTACTTAAAAAAAAATTAAGAATTTATTGAAATTATAAAATCTCAGTGGTTCTCATTGGGTCTTCCTGAATGAAAACTGAAAATTTCAGTCTTCAGACATGAGCTTTAGGCCAATGTCCTTGGAGATGAAGCTTTTCTTTTCCTTTTCGGAGGTGCGGCTGCCTGTGGGGGCGGTGGGGGTCCTGGAGCAGGCCCAGAGTGCAGAGTCAGACTCCCAGCACCTCTGTTTCATGGGCAGTGCCATTGACTGTGCTGACAACTTCTGGCGTCTTGGCCCTGGCTCCCTTTTCGGTTGAATAGCCGTGGCAAGTTTAGACTGAAAAGAAAGGATTTCAGACTGAAGTTTGGGGCCAGGCTTTGTTCCTGAGAACTGGCAGAGGGCACTCGGGAGAAAGGCATATTCCTGCCTTTCCCTGCACCGTTTCCATCTAATCCAGCCCTGGAGAGTGATTGTGAAACTGTGCAATGTGTTGTTATTGAGCTTGGGCCACTGTTTGTTTAAGTCAATAACTTTGAGTTTAAATTGCAGCTGGAATCAATAGAGAAAAAGCTCCAAATTACTGACGATCAGATCAACAATTGTCAGGCTGGTGTTACTAAAACACACATTCTGAGGCAGTTTTCTGCAGTTGTTTGCTTTAGTGGGGTGAGAACAACTAGAAGGAGACAGGCTTCCTTCCTGCTGAACCATGGTTAGACCCAAGCCTTCCTTGGGGTTTGGCAGCAGTCTCTGAATATTCCTAAGATTTGCTCTTAGGGTGAGTGGCTGAGGTCCCCAGGAGATGGGGCTGTCTCCGCATGCCCTGTGTCCCCAGGCTCATTCCTGCCGCCCTCTTCCTCCTGCAGTACCACGCAGAGACCATCAAGAATGTGCGCACAGCCACGGAGAGCTTTGCCTCTGACCCCATTCTCTACCGGCCAGTTGCTGTCGCCCTGGACACTAAGGGACCTGAGATCCGAACTGGGCTCATTAAGGGCGTGAGTATCCCGGGGAGCATGGGGTGGGAGCTGGGCCCTGCTGGGGCATTGTTCTCCCCTGACACTCCTTAGCAGCCTATTCCCTGCCCAGAGCCACAGTCCTGAGTCTGGGTTGATACATGAGGGATTCATTCACTGCCGATGGAAATGTTGACCCACCCACCACACGCTCCCCTGCTCCTTGCTGAGAAATCAGAAAGGAGCCTTTATTTATTTATTTATTTTTTTACTCCTTCCAATTTCATCTAACAAAGAGAAGCGACTTTTCGGTTTTTGGTTTTTCCTATTATTAAATCACATAAATGAAATAATGTGAGGTTTCCCTTTGGTTATTCCTTGACTCATACCCAAAGAATACGATCCTTTACTCCCAGAAAAAAATGCTTTCTTGCTGCCAAGGCGTGATCATTGCCCCCAGAGGGAGGTGGGGGGGGGTCCTTTCCTTCCTGCCCCAGGGCTGCCTCTCTGCACTGTGGGCACAGGCACACTGGATTGTCTCGTCCACAGAGTGGCACCGCGGAGGTGGAGCTCAAGAAGGGCGCCAAGCTCAAGATCACTCTGGATAACGCCTACATGGAAAAGTGTGACGAGAACACCCTGTGGCTGGACTACAAGAACATTTGCAAGGTGGTGGAAGTGGGCAGCAAGATCTATGTGGATGATGGTCTCATTTCTCTGCAGGTGAAGGAGAAAGGTGAGTAGTAGGGGCGGGCTCTCGTTGTCAGGATCTGTCTTCTGCCTATAGATTTCTGCTGGCTTAAGATCAGAAGTTTGGTTGACAGCAAATTCTCTCTGTGGTTCAGAAACTGGATTTATTGAGGTGGGGGTGGGGTGGAGAGCAGGGACTTGGCCACTCAAAGGCTCTTCAGGAGTCCGGGCCATGTATCCAGACACCCAGGGTTCAGGACACAATTGGACCCCTCAGCCTCTGGGATGAGTCACATTCAGCCCCATGTCTTCAGACTCATCAACATGAAACTTGGGAAAAGGCCCACTTCGTGGAGATGGGGGTCTCTGGCATCCAGGGAGCTTCAACTTAGCCTGGTGCATAGCCTCAGTTCCATGCTCCTTGTTTTGTTCGGAGCCTACGATTGAAGCCAGCATAGAGCAGGTATAAGTGCCCACTGCAAAGGCCTTAACTCCCAGGTCCATTGGAAACAGCCCTTAGAAGCCACAGGATGTGGATGCTTCCAAGGAGGAGGCTCTCTGTTTGCAGCCACTCCACATGAGCCTCTGTCTTGTGTCATTTCGTTTTGCTTTTGCATTGGTGGTCAGGGCTTACCCCTGGCCCCTGGCTCTCCCCTCAGGGATCACTTCTGGTGGCTGGCAAGTGCCCTACCCATAGCATTACTATTGTCCTGGTCCACGTCTCTATATTCTTAAAAATACACTCTAGCCTTACATATGACCAGTCTCAGTTTGATTCCTGGTATCAGTCATTGCTCGGTGTGACCTGAAAAACCAAAACTGTGACCAAAGAAAACCAAGCCAGTACTGTTGGGGGGGGCGGGTGCCATGAGATTAAATGAAAATATACCATATTCTTAAAACTAGACATGAAGTAATCAAGTTCTTAGGAGTATATGCAAGATGTTTTTTCTTCTACCTATCCTCCTTTTGGATTGTCGGTTTCTTTCTCTACCTCAGTCTGATATATTCAGGACTCCAGTGTGCCTGGGAATGCTGGCTAATTCTCATTTTGGGAGGGTTGGGGGCATGCCTGGCAATTCTTCCTCCTGGCTATGGAATCACTCAGGAATCATTTCTGGCAAGGCTTAGCAGGCCATATGGAGTGTTGGGGATCAAACTTGGCTTGTCCACATGCAAGGCAAGCACACCACCCTGGCTCGATCCCCAGCACCCATATGGTCCCCTAAGCACAGCTGGGTGTAGCCCCAAACCTAAATTAAAAACAAAAAAAATAGGGGCTGGAGCAATAGCACAGCAGGTAGAGCGTTTGCCTTGCACGTGGCTGACCTGGTTCGATTCCCAGCATCCCATATGGTCCCTTGAGCACTGCCAGGGGTGATACCTGAGTGCAGAACCAGGAGGAACCCCTGTGCATAGCTGGGTGTGACCCAAAAAGCAAAAACAACAACAACAAAAAATAAAACATAAAAATAACACTTTGTTAGGTGTTACTACTTGTTTCACAGGTGAGGAAACAGAGTTGCTAATTGACTTGCCCAAAGCTGCAGGGTGATTGGAGTTGGGATTTGAATTCCACACTGGTATTGGTTTATAGTACTGAGCAGCAGGGGCAGGGTCTTCTTACTGAGCACACATCCTGTTCTGTTGCCCCTTCCGCCCCATGTGGGACAGGTCCTGACTACCTGGTGACTGAGGTGGAGAACGGAGGCTCCCTGGGCAGCAAGAAGGGTGTGAATCTCCCCGGAGCTGCTGTGGATCTGCCTGCTGTGTCGGAGAAGGACATCCAGGATCTGAAGTTTGGGGTCGAACAGGATGTGGATATGGTGTTCGCATCTTTCATCCGCAAGGCAGCGGATGTTCATGAGGTCAGGAAGGTCCTTGGAGAGAAAGGAAAGAACATCAAGATCATCAGCAAGATCGAGAACCATGAGGGCGTTCGGAGGTGAGTCCCGCTGCCTGTCCGGCATCCTGCAGGTGATTCCCTGCCTCCTGGACCTGGCCGCCTGCCCGTCTCTGCGCAGGCCACTCTGTCTGTCCAGCCCTCCGACTGTCTGCAGAGGCAGCGGTAGGCATTGGTATGTAGAACAGAAAGGATTTCCTAATCTCCACTTCTCGATGGATGCCAGCCTTTCGATGCTGTGTCCAGGAACAGCACTGAGAAAGGAGTCCAGGCCACAGCGCACAGACTGGGCAGTGGCATTCTGTGCTTCTAGTCATGAGCATTCCCCTTACTTGCTTTAGAAGGGGTAATCCCCAGGAGTGGAGCTCGGGGCACCCTGTAGGGACCCATTGTCCCTCACTTGGAACCACAGCTCATCTCAGGCAGCCCTCGACTCCCAGCCTCTGTGTCTTCCCTTCCATAACAGCTGATGGTCACTGTGCTGGCCTGGGCCTGGCCTTGATGTCCCAGAGCAAAGCATGTGGTTCTCCAGGTTCTGATGGTGTCATCGCCTCCCCCCACTCACCAAGAGCAGATGAGGATGGCCACTTTGGTGGCATCGGTGGTCTTGGACTCCCTACCCCGTCACAGGTCTGAGCAGCTGGAACCCCAGAGCAGTCTGGCAGCTGCTCGGGACTGATCTGGCCGTGGCTCGTTGCTCCCTTAAGCTATCGGGGCCTCCTGCTGTCCCTGTGCCCTGTGCGTACTCACAAACCTTGGTGCAAGAGGCCGTGCAGAGCCGCATGGACTTGGGCCTTCCACAACCCCTTGTGACTTCAGGAGCCTCTTGGGCAGCAGAGGCCTCGGGGAGTGGAGGGTGGAGAGCGGCATTACGGCCCCACAGAGCATGGGTGGAGAGGAGACAGGTTTGTGGCTGCAGAGGTGTCCTCCCCCGGCTCCCGCCAGTGGGAACTCCACAGAGCTGAAGAAGCCCACTTGAGGGAGGGAATCGAGGCCTGAATGCCCCGCCTCGCGGCGTGTGGGAGATGCTGATACAGGGCTGGTGAGGCGCAGTCCAGTCACTCCTGGGGGGCATCTCTTTAGCATCCTGGCACTTGTGGTCCCGGTTCCACAGAACCAATCTCTTCCAACTTCTCTGTCAGGTTTGATGAGATCCTGGAAGCCAGCGATGGCATCATGGTGGCCCGTGGTGACCTCGGTATTGAGATCCCTGCGGAGAAGGTCTTCCTTGCGCAGAAGATGATGATTGGACGGTGCAATCGGGCTGGGAAGCCAGTTATCTGCGCCACCCAGGCACGTGTCTTCCTGTTGCACAGGATACATTGGAGGCTTCCCCCCTCCCCCACCTCCCCGTCTGTCTACCTTTGTCTCTCCCTCCCTCCCATGTCTCACACGCTTACACAGGCACACATGCAGCCCCTTTGCTCATGCACACAGACAGACACACTCTCGGGGGGGGGGGGGGGGGGAGGTGGGGGAGTGGTCAGCTGTGGACAGACCAACCGCGTCCCAGGAGTGCTCACTCCCCTCTCCCCTGCCAGATGCTGGAGAGCATGATCAAGAAGCCACGCCCCACTCGGGCCGAGGGCAGCGACGTGGCCAACGCGGTGCTGGACGGAGCAGACTGCATCATGCTGTCCGGGGAGACAGCCAAGGGCGACTACCCGCTGGAGGCCGTGCGCATGCAGCACCTGGTGAGTCCCGGCGGCCCCAGCAAGCACTGATGCCAGGTGACTTCTGACAGGCTTTGGCCTCCAGAGCCTTCTGTCACCTGGTCCTCCGCGTTCCAACCATTGTGAGGAAGCGTGTGCTGGGGTGATGGTGGAGTCTCGTTTGTTGGTTTTTTGGGTTTTGACTGTTCTGCCTTCTGCCCACCTCCCCCTGCGCCCTTTTGTCGGAGGGGGCAGCGGGGGCGGGGGCATTCTCCTTCACTGGACAAAGCCGGGCCACTGCTGGCTTTGGGCCGTCACACACTCTGACCCTCCTCTGGATGACCACGGTGCTGTGCGCCCCTTCGCTTTGTTCTGAGGAAGGTCCTGGACTCCTTCCAGCCAGCCTCCGTTTTGTCTGTTTTGAGCCTTCTCCCACACGGACACCCCTGGAGGCTGTTGTCTGCACCGAGTTGACTGGCGCTGGCCTTGCATGGTGTCTGCAAATGGGACCTGCTTTGCTGGACTGTCGCACTCACCGCAGACTAAAGCAGGGGTCTCAGTGACAAGGGACCATCCCACAGGGAGAAGGGGCAGCGTGATTCTGGCTGCTCTGGGGCAGAGTATCAGGAGACTTGGGGTCCACTCTTCTCCCAGAGATGGTTTCTCACTGGGTTCCTGCTGGCCATGTCCACTGTCTAGCTCGTCTCCATGGGGCTCAGTGTCTCTGCCCTTGTGCTCTGGGGGTGAGGTTTGATTAACACCGGGATCTGGTGTCAGGCTTGCTTAGGATGAGAGTGCAGCCTGCTTACCTGCTTCCAGTCACCCTTGGGCCATGCGTATCAGGTGTGTGGCTCACTGAGCACCCCTTACCCGGAAGTGGCCTTATCTTTAACCTTTGGACAGTGAAACACCCTGTTTCCTTTACGTGGCACATCCAGTGTTCTCCCCAAATTAGTCTTATACTTTTTTATTTACTCATTTTGGGTCATACCCAGTGGTACTCAGGGGCTACACCTGGCCCTGTGCTTGGAAGTTAGTTGTTCTGGGGGCCAGGGCTGGGCAATGCTGTGGTTCAAACCTGGGTCCCCTACTTGCAGAGCTTGTGCCCAACTCATTGAGTCATCTCTTTGGCCCTTTCCCCCCAAATTTAAACAACTCTCAGAGCAACCTCTAGTTTAGAGACCTTCTTTGCCTTTGCATTTTGTGTGTTCAGTTACTAGCCTCCCAGGGAAGACATTTATAGTGAAGACTTTGATTGAGGTCTTCCAGGCAGTCTCCAGCATTCTTGGTGATTGAAGGATCCATACTGAAGTCGGTGGACACTAGCCCCGGCCCTGCCCCAGCAGATGCTGCTGCCCTGTGGATGCAACCTGCTTGCTGTCCCCATGCCCGGGGCCTCTGGCCTCCCCCTCACACCTGCCCAGAGGGGCTGAGAGCAGCTCACAAGATGGCTCCGGCAGGAAATGATAGACCTGAACCAGTCAGCATGTTAGGACAGGGGGCTCTCCACACACCCCATTTCTCCACGGGTCTTCCTGCCTTAGCTGTGTGCATAGCCTCGGACTTGGACCAGATTGTCACCTGTGACCTGCATGAGGAGCCCACGTAACTTGTTTTGTGTCTTTGGGCAAATCAGCCCTCAAGCCTTGCCCTAAAGTGAGTTAGATGCAATTCATTGTAGCCTTTGTGTTAAATATTCACAGCTGTTATTGAACACTGAATGATGGAATCTTTATATTTGTGAGATAGATTTCAGCCCAGTGTGTAAGTGGGGTGTGCACACGGTAATAGAGCCGCACCTGCTGCCCCTGGACCCAGAATCCTCTGAGGTCAGGGACTAAGACTGTGGGCCCTGGCTTCCCGGCCTGCTTTTCTGTACCCTACTCTGCTGTGACCAGACAGGCGCCACAGAGAGGAACCGAGCAAGGTGTGGGTGCCAGCACTGCGCTGTGAGGACTGGGCAGCTGGTACTGGCTGCTTGTTCCCCCACCCCCACCCCAGCACTGGCTAGCAGCTTCTCCTCTTAACTGTTGGCTGCTCTCTCCCATGTCTGACTGGTGCAGCTAGTGACCTGTAACTGAGGGCTAGGCAGTACCAGGTACGGTGGTTTTCCTGCTCGTGTCCTCTCTCAGACTGCATGCCTCTGTTCTTAGAGAAAAACCCTTTAACCTAGTAAATCCCGCCACACGTCTGCTTAGCCTGTCACATTAATGACATGGGTGACTGATTCTTCCTCACCATTACTCTCTCAGGGTGCTGGGAACTGGGACATAATCCTCTAAAGCTTGCCTCCTAATTCCGGGTGTCCTTTGATCGGGTTGTCTGTAAATAACTCTGACTTTCTCATGACTTTTAATCATTAGATTTTAATCATGGGTCTGATAAAACTGTGTGTGTTTCTTCCACCAGGGTCTGTCTCTGCACATGGCTGTTTATCAGAGCCCACTGGGCGGCTGTTTGTCTACCTGCTGGCGTTTTTTTTGTTTTTTGGCCATACCTGGCGGTGCTTAGAGGCTCCTCCTGGCTCTGTGCTGGGGGTTGCTCCTGGCAGTGCTTGGGGCTGACCATGTGGTGCTGGGAATTGAACCCGGCCTCACGTGCTCAGCCTTTATGTGGGTGAGCCCTGAGACTTTCTGGGGCTTTGCCTGACGCCAGCCCTCCTGGGGCTGCTCAGTGCGTTTCCATGGCAGCCTCGGGAAAGGCATGTAGCCTTGCTGCGCCTGCCCAAGGCCAGGCAGCACCCCCACGTGTGCCTGGAAGCCAGCAGGGAGCTTTGTGGGGCGCAGCCAGCCATGTGAGGAGGCCAGACCTGCTCCTCCCTCTGTCCGAGTCACGGTGAGGCAGGGTGCCTGGCCCTGCGGAGACGCCCGCCGGACCCCCTGTGCTGGCCGGCGATGTGGGCGCGCTCAGATCCCTCGCAGGCGTCCACACCCTGCCTCTGCTGCCGGGCAGACGGAGCCCATTAACCTCTCTGACTGACTGATGGATCCCTTCTGTCTTTCCATGTGCGTTGTCTCCTCTCTACCCGTCCTCTGTCCCTCCCCCCTCCCGACCCCTGCAGATAGCTCGGGAGGCCGAGGCAGCCATGTTCCACCGCCAGCTGTTTGAAGAACTTGTGCGCACGTCCAGTCACTCCACAGACCCCCTGGAGGCCATGGCCATGGGCAGCGTGGAGGCTTCCTATAAGTGCTTAGCGGCAGCTTTGATAGTTCTGACGGAGTCTGGCAGGTAGGGCCCTGCGGGCAGGTAATGACGTCCAGTCTCTTGCGCCGCCTGTTCTCGACGACGTCCAGGGCCCAGCCCTGCTGCAGCCGGGGCCCGGCTCAGGGCCTCTTGTCTCCGCAGGAAGCAGCCAGCGAGGTCAGGGCAGGCTAGGGCCTCAGGAGCGCCAGCACACGCCCCCGTCCCCAGGAGTCCTCATGCTCTTCTTCTCTTGGCCTTTGGGGGCCAGGTCCCTGCCCGCGTCTGTGGCCTCTTCCTCCCATCCCCAGTGTGACACAGCTCTGACGAAGCTCTGTCCCCCCTCCCCTTCTCGTCCCTCTGGACGATGTCGCTCCCCTAGATTGCCCGTGAGGCAGAGGCCGCCATCTACCACATGCAGTTATTTGAGGAGCTCCGTCGCCTGGCTCCCATTACCAGCGACCCCACAGAAGCTGCCGCCGTGGGTGCCGTGGAGGCCTCCTTCAAGTGCTGCAGTGGGGCCATAATCGTCCTCACCAAGTCCGGCAGGTAGGAGGTGGGAGCGCCCCTGGGGATGCCCTGCTCAGGGTACCCCTCCTTGGGGGTCCCGGGCACGCCGATGGCACTGGGCCAGGTAAGACCCCCTCAGCCTGTGGCCCGAGTCCTGCAGGGAAGGCGTCCCTAGGGCCAGGGCCCAGCGAGAGCAAAGCTGCTTCCACAGCTGGAGAGACTCCAGCGAGCGCTCAGAAGGCGCACCGGGCCGTTTTGGTTTCAGAGCGAGGTTATCCTCTCCCTGTGACCAGAGGCTTCAGCTGTGACTATACACTGAGTCCCCAGGGCTCTGGCGCACAGGCGGCAGCTCTGAAGCTCCCTCAGCAGCATCAGCATCTCAGCTCTGCTGCACCCATCCCCCGCCCCCGTTCCCCACCCCACCCCACCCCATGGCCCCTCGTTGAGCCTGAGACAAGTGGGTTGTGGCCAGGAAATCACAGCGTTGTCTGGCACTCTGTGTCATTCCATCAAGTGGAGGCCTGGCCTGAATTGTCCTTCGCTCCCAGGCCCGGGAGCATCCTGCCCACATGGTCACTGGGGTGGGCGGCCAGGAGAGGCACCAGGCAAACAGCTCCACCATTAGGGTTGACCTTTGTCAAAACGTCTGACTGGCCATTCGACTATTCTTAGCTCCAGTCTCCTGGGCTTCCATCCTCTTACCGGGCTCTGACTTGAGCAGGTGCTTCTCTCTGAAAGCCTTGAGTGCAGGCCAAGCCGTAAGTGGAGCGTTCTCAGTTGTGACATGGGTTAGGTTCCTGGGACAGCTGCTGTGTGTCCTCAGAACTTGCCTTCTGGAGGCCTGTTCCTCCTGCCAGCTCGTCCCTTGCTCCTGAGACATACCTGCAGCTACCGGTGTGCACAAGGATACTCCCCTCAGAGGACCCCTGCTGCACGACTCAGCTCACACTCCCAGCTGCCTCTCCAGAAGCAGCAGGAAGGGAAGGTTGCATACCCTTCCCCGGGGCCAGGACCCCTCCCCTCTCTGGATGGCCACTCAGTACCAGTCTCGGCTTGTACCTCCTGGTGGCCGAGTGAGGAATGGGTGCCCGTGAGGCTGGCCCATGGATACCTCCTGGGGCCAGAACGGAAGAGTTTTGAAGGTGGTTTTGCCAAACCTGGGCCCTGTGCTTGAGTGCACAAGACTGGCCGGTCCAGGGCCCTGCTGTGAGAGCAGTGGAGGGCAGGTGGAGAGAACATTCGTGACCAGCTTGGTGCTGTGTGACATGCAAACGACATGCATGCTTCTGCCTGTCCCCCCCCACGCCTGTGTTCTGCAGTGGGGCCCACGGGGCCGGTGTTAAAGTGACCCATGCAGCAGGCTCCCTGGGCCTACCTGGGGGACACTGTCTCATGGTCTCTCCTGGCTTTACCCCTGTGCCTTTCCAGGTCAGCTCACCAGGTGGCCAGATACCGCCCCCGTGCCCCCATCATTGCTGTGACCCGGAATCACCAGACGGCCCGCCAGGCCCACCTGTACCGTGGCATCTTCCCCGTGGTGTGTAAGGACCCAGTGCAGGACGCGTGGGCTGAGGATGTAGACCTCCGGGTGAACTTGGCCATGAATGTCGGTACGTGGATGGGAGCCGGCCTGGGGTGGGGGTGCGCAGTCACTGACTTCTCTGGGGTCCTCAGGAGAGAGAACGTATAAGACCCGAGGGTGCCAGCACCCTCCTGGGGAGTATTTTCTCTGAATCCTCCATCATCCCATTCCAGAATTTCTGGGCTGAACTAGGGAGGGAAAGTGGGACTTTTGTCTTTTTTTTTTTTTTTTTTTTTTTTTTTTTGCTTTTTGGGTCACACCCAGCAATGCATAGGGGTTACTCCTGGCTCTGCACTCAGGAATTAACCCTGGCAGTGCTCAGGGGACCATATGGGATGCTGGGAATCGAACCAGGTCAGCCACGTGCAAAGCAAATGCTCTACCCGCTGTGCTATTGCTCCAGCCTCAAAAGTGTAACTTTTGAGAGCAGTTCTCCTTATCTCCGGAGGAGCAGTTCTTCGGATCTCCATGTGAGGATCCGGAAAGTCAAGGAAGTTCATATGGGGGCATTGGCTCATGAGGTCTTGCTAATAAAAATAGCTCCTGCTTGTGGCATGGGGCGCGCACACACACACACACACACACACACACACACCACACAGGGCAGGCGCACACACAAACACACACACACCACACAGGGCACACACACACACACACACACATGCACACACCACACAGGGCACACACAGACACACACCCCACACCTCATACAGGATTGATGTGGTCTTTGTCCCTATGTGAGTAGGTTGTCACAGGAGAGAGGCAGCTAGTTCTGACCTTGGGCAAGGCCCTCCACCTTCTAGAGTATAAAATGAATCCAAAGGTCCCTGCCAACTCTGCCATCAGTGAGTGATAAGGAATCCCTTGCCTCCTTGGCTCTGTTGTGAGACTAGTGCCACCTTGTGGTGCGAGGAAGTAATGGCCAGTCAGGCTGTGGGAGGCGAACCTGCCGGGCTGGCTGGCATTGACTCACCAACCTTTCCTCTCTTCCTTCCCCTAGGCAAGGCCCGAGGCTTCTTCAAGAAGGGAGACGTGGTCATTGTGCTGACAGGGTGGCGCCCTGGCTCTGGCTTCACCAACACCATGCGTGTGGTTCCCGTGCCGTGATGGGCCGCAGAGCCCCATCTCCAGCCCCTGCCCCACCCCTCCCCCAACCCGTCCATTAGGTCAGCAACCGCTTGTAGTGCTCACTCTGGCTGTAGTGTGGCACTCGTGGGCTGGGGCAGCAAGGCGGACGAGTGCCTCTGAACCGTGGCTCTGTGTAAGACCCTGCTCAGGGGGCTCCCCCAAAGCCACTGCCCATCATGTGTCCCTGCTGCAGTGAGGGGCAAGAGAGGGTTGCAGGACTGACTCTAGGCCCCAGAGATAACAGAGGGCAGCAGCTCTGCCTCCTTTGTGCCCTATGTCCACTTCCTGTAGAAAATGGATTTCCAGACAACTAGCCCTGGCCAGGGGTCAGAAGACAGCAAGAGAGGGGGCCGCAGAGCCAGGGGCAGGGGGTCCCGGTGAAGCTGGCTCTGACCCTGACTCGCTCCTGCTTCTCCAGCCCCCTAGGCTCCCCTCTCCCACCTTGTCGTGCCTCGTGCACATCCGTCCCTGCACTCCACTCAGCAGTGGCCGCAGACAAACACTCCACCCGCCTGCCATTCCCCGGCCGCTGCAGCCTTCTCCAGGCCTGTTGCTATAGAACCTACCTGTATGTCAATAAACAACAGCTGAAGCACCTGTTTCCTCTCCTTTCTGGTGGGGGCGAGAAGCTGAGCCCCAGAAGACTCTGGGGCCTCGTGTGTTTCCACTTCACTCTGACCACCTGTATCCCTGCGGGAATCCAAGGAGCAGGGTTGGGGGACCTGGGCTCCCTGTGCTGTGTCAGCCCCGGGGGAAGGCATTGCGGCAGCTGCATTTCTAAAAGCTGCTGTGCTGGGAGGTGAAATTGACAGATTTGAAATCCAGTAAGGGGGGGCCCTGCCCCTCCTGCTTTGGTGGGTAAGACGACGACCTTGGCCTTTGGCCTGCTCTTCTTGCCCCTTTGGAAGAATTGGAACAGGCTCCTGAGTCGAGATCATTCTGGCTCCTCATTGTGGCCAAGTTCTACCACTTCCTGGAACCCTTGTGACCCCAGGTTCCTTCACTACCTAGAAACAGGAGGGAGTGGGGACTGGAACTGAACCTACCTTGCACCCTTTCCCCTTGCCAGTGGTCAAGTAGTTACATTGTGGGACTAGGGATTTCTAAAGCCCAGATCATGTTCACTCTTGCCATGCATCTCAGGGGCTCTCTGCCCTGGTTTCCACACTTGACTTCTGGTCTGGTCACCCAGCCATTCCACAGACAATCGAGTTTGTTGTCTGGAGGGCAGGCCGCAACTCTTAAGAAAAGTGAAAGCATTCGAACTCCTGGGCACTCCCTATCGCATTCAAACCCCCCCTGGGAACCCTTCTCTCACTTCTCTGGAGTGGAGGGCCATTCAAATGCACCCTGGAATGCAAACTCCTGGGCGTTTTGAGGAGTTGATTCAGCGGTCGCCCGGCTCTTCTGAAAGCAGAAGGGGTTGAAGAGGTACCTGAACCTTGAGAGCACCCCAAGCGGGCTCTGTGAGAGGCACGAGGCGTAGCCACGGGAAACTTTCCCGGCTCAAGGACGCAGCGGCAGGATGGTCCAGAGCTCGGGGCTCCACCTGGTCTGGAGAGGGGCAGGAGCGGCCAATGGGCTGCGCCCGTCCGAGCGAGCAGCCAATGGGCGCGCGGGGGCGGGCCCTGGCGGAGCGGCCGGGGGCGGGCGGGAGCTCGGTTCTGCCGCGCGGGCCCGGAGCTCGCTGCAGGCGACGCGATGACCGCGCTGAGCCGGGGCGAGGCCGCCGAGACGGGCAGGTACGGGGGGCCGCCGATCGCGGGGCTCGGGTGCCGCCGGGCGGGGTGGGGTGTGCGCGGCGGCCGCCAGGCAGGCGCTTCCCGGCCGCCGGAATGCGGGCTCGGCTCCAGCGGGGCGCGCGCCGGCCCGGGCGTCCCCCGCGCTGCGAGGTGCTGGCGCGGCCGCGGGATGCCCTGGCCGGCAGGTCTGGGCTCTTCAGAGGGGCCTGCGACCGGGCAGCGAGGGGCCACGTGGCCAAATCAGGTGCGCAGTGCCGCCCACCCCCGCTCCCCTCCCTCCCCCTCGCCTTTCTCGTATCCCTGCATCCGTTCATCCGTGCGTAGCCCCGCATCCCCGCCGCGCCTCGCCCGCTTCCCCACGAAGGGGTCAGCCTCTCCCTTCCCGCGGCCCCGTTTGCACTTGCAGGGACCCGCCGCTGCCCAGGACGCAGCGTGGAGCTGCCCTGGCACGACTCGGCCGCGCCCGCGCGCCTGGCTCTTCTCGGAGGGGCGGGCTGGGGCGGGTCTCCCGGTCCCGGGCCTGATCCCCGGTCGCTTCGGAAACTGGGAAGTTCCTATAGCGGGGGAGGGGGGAAAGGGGTGGCCGCGGGAACTGTGGGCGCTGGCCCCTGAGAGACGGTGGGAGATGATTGGAGGGGGAGAGTCAGCGAACGCGGCGCGAAGTTCCTCCCGGGGCCCGAGCTGAAGCTCCGCAGTCAGCTCTGGAGGGTTGCCTGGCACCCAGCCAGCTGCAGGTAGGGTCCGAACGAACCCTGTGCCCACTGCAACCTGCTACGGGGACTCCTCCGGACCTGCCCGCCAAGGGTCTGTCTAGTGGGACTCCACCCAGATGTCATTTGCCCTTCCTTGCTTTTCTGGCCGCCCCCCGCCCCACATGCACACACTCCCACCGCACCGCGTGGCTGTTGGAGGGTTGCAGGCATCCAGAACTAGGGAACCAGCCCAGCTCTGACACAGCCCGCCAATGTGCCCGCCCATGCACACCTCCCGCGCTGAAGTCTGATTCTTGGAAGAGCTGGAGATGTAGTTGGTGGCAGAGCGAGGTGGCATAGAGGGGGTGCCTGGCTGCAGGGTGGTCACCCATATATCCCCTGCGGACCCGTATATCTCCTGAACACCCCTCTGGCCACTCAGGCGGGGCTCCAGTTCATGCTCCGGGACCTCACAGGGCTGCAGTTAACTCTTTGGCAAGTCCAGTTAATGGAGCCAAGGAGCAGATCTCCAGGACAAGTTGACAGATGCTACTATGAACTTTCAGGAGCATTTCTGTAGATTCAAGTGAAGTTATTCCTCATTGGCTCTTGGGAAGATTTTCTGAATAGTCTAGAGAGGCCAGCTGAGCCCTGGGCATGCCTTGATGGGGTTGGTTATGGCTTTTAAGAAATTTCTGTGTTTGCGTGACTCCTCAAACAAAGCCTTTGTGCAGGCCAGAAAGGTCTCTGCACCAGTTGGACCACCTCTGGTGAGCCCTGGGATGGGCAGCCTTCAGGATGAGTCCCCACAGCCGGCTCCCACAAGCTCTCCCAGCCGGCTTGGGAGGCTGCACCGGTCCTCAGCCCACTCGACAGCCATCTCGGCACTTGCATGTTAAGCACTGCATTTATCAGATTGGCATGAATCAGACACGAGTTTATAGTCTCATGCTGCTATTTTGCTGTGAGTTGGGACAAGGTGGTTCCTTTCTCTAGTCCTACTTTGCCATCCTAAGTTAAGAGGTAAGGCTTTCTTAAGGCTTTCATGTGGTCATTCCATGGTTCTAGCTTTCTGGGTTTTTTTTTTTTGTATTAGTTTTGGGGCCACACCCAGTGGTAGTATTCAGGGCTTACTCCTGTGTCTGTGCTCAGGGACCACTCCTGTTGGGGGCTCAGCGGAGGATATGCAATGCCAGATATTGAACCTGGTCGGTGGCATGCAAGGAAAGTGCCTAATTCCCTGTACCTCTTTGGGGCCACCATGATTCCACTCACCAGTCTGTTTCCCCTTCAGTCTTGGAGGGTGTTTTTTTGTATTGTTTGTTTATTTGGGGTCTGCCCCTGGTACTACCCAGGGGCTACTACCAGGTCAGTGCTCAGAGGTTACACCCAGCAGTGCCAGGGATTGAACGTGCAAATCTTGTACTCAGTCTGGTGAGTGATATCTCCTTGGGCTGAAGGGCTTATATTAAAAATTATATATAAAAAACCCGCTTTTTAAAAAAATGGTTTTGGTGCTACATCTGGCAGTGCTCAAGGCTTACTCATGGCTCTGCACTCAGGGATCACTCCTGACAGGCTTAGGGTATCATATGGAGTGGCAGGGATTGAACCCTGGTTGTCCACATGCAAGGCAAACACCCTACCCACTGTATTATTACTCCAGCCCCAGGGCTTTTCTTTCTATTTTTTTTTTTTACCTAATTTCTCCTTTGCTGTGACTGCTTATGGATTGTCTATAAGGTCAAAAGTGGAACATTCTTAGACTGGGGCTGTGGCTCAAGTGGTAGCCCACAGGCTCTGATGGCCAGCCCTAGGCAGGATGTCAGCACCATGTGACGATCCCTAGTTTCACAGGTGTGGCCCCTACAGTCGAGTAAAATAAGGCAAAGAATGATGTGTCTTTCCAGTTCGGGATGACTGACTGCATCTGAGCACTAGAACACAATGGCTTTCTTCCTTTCCTGAGAAATGAAAATGAAAATGATTTCCCTCCATTCCGCAGTCCTGCCTGATGCTGGGCTGAGTCTGGCAGGACGTCCGTCTGGCCTCTGTGCTGCTATCCACCTGACTGGGCATCACTCTGTCACCATCTGTTATCACCCACCTTTGAAGTTTTGATTAATTCCCCAACTGTGGACTAGAGTAGGAAGGGCAGGGAAGGCAGAAGTCATTGGGGATAAAGCTTCCTGTATAATTAACGAGTAACTGTCTCTCCAAAAGGTCCCTGCCTGCCACCGCCCAGATTCCAGAAGGAAGGGGTTCCTAGGAATGAACTGCTTCCCCTCTACATCTCCCCACTGCAGCTTCACACTTTTTTATTAGTTTAGAAAAGCTTGGTCATAATTCAGAACCGGAGTGTTTTAATAACCTGTGGAGGCTGAACCTGTCTTTCATTCTTGTTTTATTAGTATTTCCTCAGGTCACGCTTAAAAGCCACTTGAAAAAAAAATTTTTTTTTATGGTGAATGTTGGTTTGGAGCCATAACCAGTAATACCCAGGGGCTCAGTACTTGGGGTTTGCTCTTGTGGTGCTTGAAGAACCCAGGGCGGTACTGGGGATCAAACCCTAGAAAACCATGTGCTCTAGTCCTTCGAACTCTAACCCTGTATCGATAGTGTTTTGGGTGGGCTATTAGCTGGGCCTGGCAATATGTCTGTGTTTCTTCTTTCTTCCTCATTTGTTGACGTGAAATACCAAAAGTATTTGTATTGGCTGTCAAAGTCCTACCCTTGTTTCTGCTTGTTGAGGTCCCTTTATGGAGATTGGACTTGCAGTGGGTGGTTATGTTTGAGCAAACAACTCTGGTAATGAGTATTTATTTATCTGTTTGTTTGTTTTGTTTTGGGGCCAGACAAAAGCTCAGGTGATATATCTGGATGGATCTGCACTCAGGAATCACTCCTGGCAGTGCTCAGGGTTCCATGTGGGATGCTGGGGATTAAACCAGGTAGGCTGTGTGTCAGGCAAATCCCTTACCCACTGTATTATCTCTTCAGAAGAAATTTTTTTTTCTTTTTCTTTTTCTTTTTGGATCACACCTGGCGATGCTCAGGGGTTACTCCTGGTTCTGCACTCAGGAATTACTTTCAGCGGTGCTCAGGGAGCCTATGGGAAGCCGGGGATCGAACTTGGGTCGGCTGCATGCAAGGCAAGCACCCTACCCCCTGTACTGTCGCTCTGGCCCGGGATTAATTTTCTTCTGGAGAAAAAGCCCTTAATTATTTCTACTCTGTGTTAACTTTAGTCAGATTACTCAAAACTTGCCCATAGCTAGTGGAGTTACACAACATGCTATTTTAAAATTTGTAGTCTGGAAATTTTCTTTTAAAATGACCTAGTGATAATACTAGGATTTGATATTTACACTGAGATTGGGTTTTTTTTTTTTTTTTTTTGCTTTTTGTGTCACACCCGGTGATGCTCAGGGGTTACTCCTGGCTTTGCACTCAGGAATCACTCCTGGTGGTGCTCAGGGGACCATATGGGATGTTGGGAATCGAACCCGGGTCGGCAACGTGCAAGGCAAACGCCCTACCCACTGTGCTATCGCTCCAGCCCTACACTGAGCTTTTTGAATCCAAACTCAGTAAAATACCTGGGCTCAGGAGACCCCGCAGTGCCTCCTCCCAAACCTGGGCCTCCTGCATGCAAGGCATGTGCATGAGCCTGTTAAGCCATGCTCCAGCCCAGGGTTTATTTATTATCTTATTTATTTCTTTACTTTGGTTTTGGGGTCACAACCAGCTGTTCTTGGGAACTCTCCTTATGATGCTCAGACTGGGCTTGGCCATATCCAAGGCAAGAAACTTTAACCCTTGGACTGTTTCTCAGGCCCTAGAGTTTATATTTAAAATCTATCATGTTATTGATGGAATTAAAGCTGTATAATTTGGGGGATCATTGACTACATTAAAATTTTAATCAAAGGGCCAGGAATATAGCTCAGTGGTAGAGCACTTGTCTTGCATATATGAGGCCTGGCATCACACTTTTTACTAATTTAGAAAAGCTTGATCATCATGATCACGATCACAATCATCCTGTTGTTCGTCGATTGCCTCGAGCAGGACCCAGTAATGTCTCCTTCGTCCTAGCCCTGAGATTTATTTATTTATTTATTTATTTATTTATTTATTTATTTTGCGTTTTGGGTCACACCTGGCGACGCTCAGGGGTTACTCCTGGCTCTGCACTCAGGAATTACTCCTGGCGGTGCTCAGGGGACCATATGGGATGCTGGGAATCGAACCCGTGTCAGCCGCATGCAAGGCAAATGCCCTACCCGCTGTGCTATTGCTCCAGCC